ACCATGCAGAAATCCAAAACCTGAACAGATCAATAACAAGTAACGAGGTTGAACCCATAATAAAAAGTCTCCCAGCAAAGAAAAGCCTAGGACCTGAAGGCTTCGCTGCAGAATTCTACCAGACATTTAAGGAAGAACTAATACCAGTCCTACTCAAACTATCCTAAAAAATAGAGGAGGAAGAAATACTTCCAAACTCATTCTACTAAGCCAGTATTACCTGGATACCAAAGCCAGAAAAAGACACATCAAAAAAAGAAAATAACAGGCCAATATTACTGATGAATATTGATGCAAAAATCTTCAAGAAAATACTTGCAAACTGAATTCAACAACACATTTAAAAAAAAGTCATTCATCATGACCAAGTAAGATATATGCCAAGGATGCAAGGATAATTCAATATATGCAAATGAATCCATGTGACACATCGTATCAACAGAATGAAAGACAAAACCATATAATCATTTCAATTAATGCTGAAAAAGCACTCAATAAAATTCAACATCCTTTCACGATAAAAACCCTCAAAAAACTAGGTATAAGAAGACCATACCTCAACATAATAAAAGCCATATATGATAGACCCATAGCTGGTATCATATTGAATGAGGAAGCACTGAAAGCCTTTCCTCTAAGATCTGGAACAGGACAAGGATGCCCACTTTCACCACCGTTATCCAAATAGTACTGGAAGTTTTAGCTAGAGAAATTTGACAAGAAAGAAATAAAGGGCATTTAAATTGGAAAGAAAGAAGTCAACTTATCCTTGTTTGCAGATGATATAATCTTATATTTGGAAAAACATAGATGCCACAAAAAACTATTAGAACTCATAAATTCAGTAAACTTGCAGGATGCAAAATCAGCATACAAAAATCAACAGCATCTCTATATGCCAACAGTGAACAAACTGAAAAAGAAATCAACAAAGTAATTCCATTTACAATAGCTACAAATAAAATAAAATACCTAGGAATTAACTAAAGAAGTAGACAATCTCTACAATGAAAATTATAAAACGCTGATGCAAGAAATTGATGAGGACACCAAAAAATAGGAAACTATTCTATGTTCAAGGATTAAAAGAATCAATATTGTTAAAATGTCCACACCACTAAAGGAATCTACATATTCAATCCAATTCCTATGAAAATACCAAGGACATTCTTCACAGAAATAGAAAAACAATCCTAAAATGTTTATGGAATCACAAAAGACTCAGAAAAAAAAAAAGTGAAGGAATTACATTACCTGGTTTCAAATTATACTGCAGAGCTATAGTAACCAAAATGGCATGGTACTGGCATGAAAGTAGACACATAGACCAGTGTAACAAAATAGAGAACCTAGAAATAAAACCATATATCTACAGTGAGTTCACTTTTGACAAAGGTGCCAAGATCATACATATATTCTCTTCAATAAATAGTGCTGGAGAAACTGGATATCCATACACAGAAGAATGAAACTAGACCCCTATCTCTCACCATATACAAAAACCAAATCAAAATTGATTAAAAGCTTAAATCTAAAACCTCAAACTACGAAACAACCGAAAGAAAACATTGGGGAAACTCTCCAGGACATTGGAGTGGGCAAAGATTTATTGAGTAATACCCTACAAGCACAGGCACTAAAGCAAAAATGGACAAATGGGATCAAATTAAGTTAAAAAGCTTCTGTACAGCAAAGGAAACAATTAACAAAGTGAAGAGACAACCCACAGAATGAAAGAAAATATTTGCAAACTGCTCATTTGACAAAGGATGAATAAGCACAATATATAAAGAGCCCAAACAATTCTACAGGAGAAACTAATTATTCAGTTAAAAACTGGATAAAGATCTAAATAGTCATTTCTCAAGAGAAGCCATATAAATGGCAAACATGTATATAAAAAGGTGTTCAACATTATTGATCATCACAGAAATGCAAATCAAAACTCACTCCAGTTAAATGAGATATCTCACCCTAGTTAAAATGGCTTTTATCCAAAAGACAGGCAATAACAAATGCTAGAGAAGATGTGGAGAAAAGGGAACCCCAATATACTGCTGGTGGGAATGTAAATTAGTACAACCACTATGGAGAACAATTTGGAGGTTTCTCAAAAAACTGAAAAGAGAGCTACGATACAATCCAGCAATCCCACTCTTTACATACATATGTAAAAGGAAATATATCAGTATGTTGAGGAAATATCTGCACTGCCATGTTTACTGGAGTACTATTCACAATAGCCAAGATTTGGAAGCAACCTAAATGTCCATCAACAGATGAATGGATGAAGAAAATGTGGTACATATACACAATGGAGTACTATTCAGCCATAAGAAAATAAGATTCTGTCACTTGCAACAACATGGATAGAACTGGAGGTCAATATGTTAAATGAAATAATCCAAACACAGAAAGACAAAACTTCACTTTCTCACTTATTCATGGGAGCTAAAATTGAAAACAAACTTATGGAACTACAGAGTAGGAGGATGGATGTTTACTGGAGGCTGGGATGGATAGTGGGGGTGGAAAAGTGGGGGTGGTTGATGGGTACAAAAGTAGAAAGAATGAATAAGACCTAGTAGTATTTGATAGCACAACAGGGTGACTATAGTAAAAATTAATTTAATTATACATTTTAAAAGGACTAAAAGAGTATAACTGGATTGTTTGTAACACAAAGGATAAATGCTGGAGGTGATGAATATCCCACTTACCTTGATGTGATTATTATGCATTGCATGCTTGTGTCAAAACATCTCATGTAACCCACAAATACATACACCTACTTTGTACCCTCAAAAATTAAAAGCTAATTTAAAGAAAGATTGAAGGAAAATGTGTGTTTGATGCACACATATTTTAATGGTCTCATCTTTAACGAGGAGAAAACTTAATTACCTATATTGACAAGCTTGATATCTCCCCATGCTTTCATCCATTCCCTCTTCTGGAATCTTTGCCTTCCTCAGGACCCGTTCAGCAGTAAAATCTAGAATGTCAATTGAGCCTAGGATGTCATCCAGCAACAGAAAGTTTGTCAAAATAGGAACCATTTCCATCCCTACCACTGGGTGGGTCTAAAATGGGTACTGCTGCTATCAGCAAGACCCTCTAGGACTGAGATATAGCTCAGGGTAGCAGCTCTATTTGAGAGTCATCTCCCTGCAAGGACAGGACCCTCTCCTACCTCCTCCCTCTTGTGCCTAGCTCTGGATAGGAGTACTTAACAAGACTATACCTTTCCTAGAACCACAGCATTTCACGCTGTGACTAGCTGACACACAGAGACTTTTGCTACCAAATTCACCTCCAAGCCACACCCCCTGGAAACTGTCATAGGCTGTGCTGAGCCCAAAACTCTTTGAGTCTGCCTTTTATTCACAGGCCTCCGTGATGGTGCCCTTTGGGATGAACCAGGGCCTGGAAGGACACTCTGCTCCTTGTTTCCCTTGGACACTGTTGCCTGGGTAGATGTGAATGCAGGCATCCATGCTGGGAGCACAGTGCCTGGCAACTGAATTCACACAGAAGTCATCTATCTCTCTAGGGGACCTGAAAGTTTTTCTCAAAAATGTACAGAACTGGTATGATAGAATAACATATTTAATGAAACTAATATTTTTCCCATAATTTATCTTTTTATCTCTACCTATTTGTCTTAGTCCATTTTGTATTTCTATAACAGAATGGTAATAAAGGCAATACACTGATTTCTTACAGTTTTGGAGGTTGGGAAGTCCAAGTCAAGGGGCCTGCAGCTGGTGAGGGCCTTCTTGCTGTGTCACTCCATGGCTGAAGGTGGAAGGGCAAGAGAATGCAAGAGAGCGAGAGGGGGCCAAACTTACTTTTGTAACAAGCCCACTCTTAGCGTAACTAACCCACTTATGTGGCAATGGCATTCATCCATTTATGGTGGCAGAGCCTTCATGACCTAATCACCTCTTAAAGGTCTCACCTCTCAACACAGTTGTATTTTGGAAGGGAGGGGGACACATTTAAACCACAGCATCATTTAAGCAAATAGAGCATTCTGTATTCATTACCTCAGGAAAAGTACATTATAAGCCAAAATAGAATTTTTTTTTAAAAAGGAGTCTCTCTTGGCATTTGTGTTTTTACACCTATGTCCTTAAGAACAGAAAGGACTCACATAACAGATTTGGAGGAATTATGTAAAGGAAATAAGGTTCTCTCCAGAGTCTAAGAATAGACCTGAAACATCAAAGGGGCCAGGAGTTTGTGGCCTGCAACCAGTCAGATCTTCTCACCAACAGTTGCCCCAATATTTGAGCTCACTGATTGAGCCAGGAGACATGATACTTCTTTGCACCCCAGAACTTTGTTTCATCCCATTCAATTCACTGTATGTGAACACATCCTGCAATATCCCTGGACTTTATAAATCCCAAAGAGAAAGACAGGAATCTGGACACCCAGCTGGGCAGAGAGGTGAGGAAGAGGAAGTCCCTCATATCTATTCCTGGGTGTGGAGGAACAGGCTAAGCTGGAGGAAATTCCCCACCAGGACAGTAATGAAACACTCCTTTCCCCATCCCAACCGCATCATAGAAGTGTGGCTTATAAGTGGCTCTATGAAACATCAGCTCCCAGCAAACTGGGGAGAGCTCTGCGCTTCACTCCCAGGAGGAGATGTCATATCTAGAGCATGTTGCACACCCTCCTGAGCTCCGCACAGTGGCAGCCTCACCTACTTCTCCCAGACCAGCAACTTTCTTTTTTTTTCTTGAGATGGGAGGTTTACTCTGCTGCCCAGGCTGTAGTGCAGTGGTATGATCTCGGCTCACTGCAACCTCTGCCTCCTGGGTTCAAGCAATTCTCCTGCATCAGCCTCCTGAGTAGCTGGGATTACAGATGCCCACCACCATACCTGACTAATTTTCTTTTGTATTTTTAGTAGAGATGGGGTTTCACCATGTTGGCCAGGCTGGTCTCAAACTCCTGACCTCAAGTGATCCACCTGCCTCTGTCTCCCAAAGAGCTGAGAGGGATTACAGGCGTAAGCCATCATGCCCGGACAGCAACTTCCTTTTCAGGCAGTCTTGCTTTTGCATAGACGCACATGTTATTTCAGCTCACCTCACATTTGCCTCTTTTGGTTGCTTCAGCAAACTCTATTTTCCCAATGGAATCATATAAATAATCAGTTGAATTGACAGATCCAAAATAGCACTTTGAGGCTACTCTTGAAGCTCATTCATAAACTGTCCTTAGAGGAAAAATAAAAGTAGAGTTCAAGTTTGAGGGAAAAAGAAATACAAATTGGGAACCTCATGATTTGAAATTTGAAACCAACAAAAACATTTATTGCTCTTAGGTTGGTTGATCCTACAAATCTTGATCCATGTTTAATGCAACCTGAAAGAAAAACAAAAAAGTAAGTATGCTTCAATACAATTAGAACTGTGAAAAGGCACAAGCCAAAGACAGAAAGTTTAGGTAACTTATATGTGACTATGCAGTCACATGAATGAAGCTTTTGGGGAGTTTCAGATGATTTCAAATGATATTCAAATATAACCATAGATTGTGTTCTCAGGGTAGTTACTGTCCCATCATTTCTTCTACTTCTTACTATGTGTTCTCATCCGTCTTGTAGGGTCTACTTCCTGTGGCCATCCCTTAAGTGCTGGAATTGCTAATGGTCCCTCCCTGAGCCCCCAGACCTTCACACACTGCACGCTCTCCTGGTACCTTCCTCACTCTCCTTGCTTCGTTGAGCACATATGCCCATGACAGCTGAATTTACATCTCCGTCCTGGGCCCCTTTCCTAACATCAACTGTCCTTTGGCTATTTTCACCTGCATATCTCGGAGCCACCTGAAAGTCAACATCTCTGCAACCAAAGCCATCATTTTTAAAAAACCTGATTTCTCTTATGTTCATCAACTCATCAAGTGGTAACACTCTCAACTCGGTTGCCCAAGGAAGACATTTAGGCTTCATCCTGACCACCCCCCCACCACTGACCCTGTGAGCCAATCTCAAATTCACTCAGTTCCTTCCATCTCTGCTGTCTAACCCTAGTCATCTTACATCTGGATCAGTGCAACAGCTTCCTAAGTGGTCTCCCTTTTTCCACTCCTGCTCCACTCCAATCCTCTCTCCACCTTATAAAAACACAGATTGAAGTTTTAAGTCCTTTCAATAATTCCCACTGCACGGAAGTCCAAAATCCCTAAGATAATATACAGGACCCTGTGTGCTCTGGCCTTTATCCACCTCTCCAGCTTAAAATCACACCATTTTCCCAGCTCCATGCACCTTACCCGAACGACTTCAGTCCCTTGAAAGCATCTTGCTGTCTCTTTCTTCTGGGCTCATCTCAGGCTAATTTCTTGAACGTCACCTCCTTAGGAAGACTTGTCCAGCCCAGGTCAGGTCTCTTCCTACTCTGTCCCTCAAAGAACCTTCCCCATTGGCCCATGGTCCCCAAAGGGCAGAAGCCCGATCCATTTTGTTCATTGGCATTTTCCAGCTCCCTACGTAGTGCCAAATCATAGTTGACATTTAATAAAGCTTTAAACAATCAGCACTGAGTCTGTGCAGCTCCACTTTCTGAACAGCTCTCAAAAATAACATTTATTTCAGGCCATTGACATCTTGTCCCCTAGATTACTACCTCCTAAGCCATCTCCTGACACCTACTTCTCCATTTTCTTCCCCATACTGTTGCCAGATGGTCTTTGCAAAATGCAATTCTCATTATATGAGCCTTCACTGCCTTCAGGATAAAATCTAAGCCTCCGAGCAGAAATGATAACTGCTTTCATGGTCTGGCCCCTGCTTTCTCCCTGGCCTCATCTCTCTCCCTTTCCTGCTCACTCTCTCTACACTGTCTTCTAGCTGGGCTTTCTTCACGCTTTCTGTGTTCTCTGCCCGGAGCAGTATCCTCAGCTTCCCACACCACCACTGAGTAGCAAATCATTAGCTTCCTTCCCTGACTGAGGTTCTTCAACTGTGCTGGCTGTCCCCCCATTCTCAGTGTATACCAATTAAAGTGACCAAATGTACCCTTCTGCCAGGACAGTCCTGGCTTACATGTGCTGATACGACTGTCATTCTCAAAAGCATACTGGTTTGCACAATAAATTACGTGGTCCCAGTAACGATGACTATTAAATGCTCATCTAATTGTCTGTTTCTCCCCTGCCTTATTCACCACAGCATTGGGCCCAGTGCCTGACATATGGAAGACGTGGTATGTTTGTTAAATAAACAAATGTACTTATATACTGGAGAAACATGCACTCTTACTAGGACATTCATTTGGTTCCAGGGTTTGCTACTGAGAACCAAAATGGTGCCTCTCACACCAAGTTTAAAGATTATGTATTTCACAAAATGATTTTTAAAATATTTTGAAGAGGTTTTGAGGTCACAGCTACAAATATAGAGATATAGATAAGCCAGTGACACACTTCACAAAAGGGCAGAATGCCAATTAGGAATATAATTGGCAACCAAGGAACTGGTTTTCTTTCTCTGAAGCAAAAGAACCATTTGCCAACCAATCCTGGACTAGCCTCATTTTCCCTACGCTTTACCTAAGTAAAAAATACAAAATAATGAAAAAGTTTTTTAAAAAACATGCTGATACTGACATCAGAAAACATTGGTTCATCAAGTTCTTCCACTCTGCTCAAGTTAGGTGCTCCATAACGATCGCTGATTTCAGCTAGTGTTTTGCCTGAGTCTGGTGTTGCTTCCTACAATCATAAAATTCATTTTTACATTTAAATGATTTCAAAATTAATACATTACTTTTCTTTCAATTATGATTTTAAAATTTCTGATTATAACATCAAAATTCAACATTATTAATTAGTGGAATTAACCAATTTCTGTTAATGACAAGAGAATTCTGGTAATAAATGCTAAAACTTAGTTTAAAAATACCGGCAGAAATTTAAAATAATTGTAAGTAATTATGTGGACAGTAGCTTCAATATCTCAGGATGGTCTAGTTTTTTAAACTGCAAACACAAACTGAATGTCCAATTTTTACCCACAGTGAGATTTTGCTTCAAAGTACATTATTTGTGACTTGCTATTACTAGAAAATATATATGGTCTATCAGTTTTATACACTTGCTAAAAATTTAGCTACTTGTGCATCAAAATTAAGCTTTACATTCTAGGATGCTCAATTCATTTCACATAACATAGAATGACTTTTTCTTCTCACCTCTGAATGTAGAGTATCTTCACTCCTAACTAAATTTTCCATATTCATTCTCATCTCCTATAATATATAAAAATTAAGAAAATACTTTGAATATACTTCATTTTGATTTCATGTTTAATTTTTGGCATTTTTATTTTTACACAATGCTTTTAATCAATTTAAAGCAAAAATGCTGTCACTCTGAAAGAGACTGATCTGATTGCACATTACAAAACGGCAGATCACAATCTTACTTAATACTCTATACTAACAGAAGGCCACTATGTTTTATACATAATTAAATAAAACTTTTTAAAAAATGAAATGGACTGAAACATTCAAACTGAAGCCAAATTATCTGCCAATATGAAAAGTGACAAAATAAAAATACTAATAAAATCTTAGAACAAGAGATCTTAAAGAGAAACTACACTTAAGTAGAGTTTTGCACACAATGAGAAAGAAGTAAACATTCTAAAGGAATTAGCTGGCCCAATGCACAAGTCCTCCCACAGCAGCTAAGTAATGCCCTTTTTAATACGCAGCACTGCAGTAGGAATGTACTGCCCAACATGGGAGGCCTCTTTCTGAATGTGAAAACATTCTTCTAGCCTGCCAATGGCTATGGCACCCATCTTTTCATTCTAAAGCAGCAGGGTGGCCTAACTGCCCCTGAGCTGATTCATTTTGGCTGCTAGAAGATGAGTGATTTCTTTATGGTTACCCTAATGAGAGAGACATAAATGCTCTTTTCCCAAGACCGTTCCATTTTCCTGGTAACTTCTTATCCAGCATCCACAAGGCTATACTAGGAACATTCATATTCTTATAGGACCATGTTCCCCCGCCACAGGGATGGATATTTGACACAGATTAAGCCAGTTAGAATCCCTTCTCCAAGATTCTTTTCTCAACTGAAACCAAAAGAAGGAATCCATTCCTCTTAGATGGTAGAAGCCACAACATTCTAAGACTCAGAAGCCATTAAGGGCCGTATTCCCCACTCATGTGTAGCAAAGCAGCCCATAGAGAAAGAATGAAACTAACCAGGGAACAGCAGAAGTGAGAGCCCTGGTAACATCTGATTCTCTTGCTCCCAAAGTCTGAAAGGCCCAGTGACATCAGAGTCCTTCACAGTTTAGGTGCTAAACCCTTAAACCGAGAATCCTTCCAGCAAATTTCCCTTTGCACATGACAGTTTACATTGCGAGTCTGCAGCCATGAGAAGGCCAGGGGAAAGGACATGAATGGATTCATATCTGAGCAATGGGCAAGGGAACAGTACTTTGCAGGGGAGTACCTATGCTATGGTGTGAGATGATAAGCCAGTAGGAATATGAATTATTAAAGTTATCGTGGCTCTGGTCACGCAAGCTGATGATGCCTGGAGATAGTAAAATAACATGAGTGTGACCCTCTGGAGCCACAAAACAGAGACCAGTCCTTACTATAGACTTTCAAGCACCTTAATGTAGCTATCAGGTTGCTTTGATTAAAAAATACTTTAAATTCCCTTATTTTGATCACTGTCTTCTTGATATGTTCCTGCATTTTCTATTTCAGTTTAGACCTGTGAATCTTTTTCAAAAATTCTTTAAATTTTTACCAATATATAATAGTTGTACATGTTTATGATGTATAGATGATATTTTGATACAAGCAAACAATGTGTAATGATCAAATCAGGGTAATTGAGATATCCATCACCTTAAACATTATTTCTTTGTGAATCTTAAAGAGAAACGGGACGCTTGTGTATGTGTGCATACAGGCATATCCCTGTGCTCATACTACACTCAGACTAAGCACCAGCATCTGTACTTTTTAAAACTATGTATAGGACTTTTATCCTTTAATAAAATCTCACTTTTTAATTTAATTTACTATTCATATTTTTAAAATATAGCTTTAATAAATGATTCTCTCATCTAAGCATTAATAAACAATGAACATATTCTATAAAGCCTGCTTCTTTTTTCAATTTTAATTATGGAATAAAAAGGGGGAGCAATATTTGATTAAGAGATAGTAGCTATAAACTTGGTCATCTAAAATATTGATCTATATGACAAATATCTTTTGGATACAGGAAATATGGGTCAAACTAGAGACCTAACATGCTGCAGATGCAACCAATGAATAATGGGCATTTTTGAAATAAGTTACTGCAGGTTGGGTGCAGTGGCTTATGCCCGTAATCCTAGCACTTTGGGAGGACAAGGCAGGCAGGTTGCCTGAGCTCAGGAGTTCAAGATCAACCCGGATGTGGCAAAACTCTGTCTCTACTAAAAATACAAAAACTTAGCCAGGCCAGGTGTGGTGGTCCATGCCTGTAATCCCAGCTACTCGGGAGGCTGAGGCACGAGAATCACTTGAACCTGGGAGGAGGAGATTGCAGTGAGACTGTGCCACTGCACTCCAGCCTGGGCAGCAGAGAGAGTCTGTGTCAAAAAAAAAGAAAGAAAGAAAGAAAGAGAGAGAGAGAATGAAGTTATTGCATAGTTTATTTTAATGAAAGGCATGAAAGTCCATGTATGAACATATTTTAAAATGCAAATTCTTGTTTTAATACATTAACATAAAGACATACACTACTGCCTCCAAGATCAGAATACCCTCAATATTCCACATCAGCTACTATAACTAGGAATAGCTAGCTCTTGACTAAAATGTTGAGTTTATCACTACTAGAGAATTGTACTGCTTACAGAGAAGTTTCACAACAATTATATTTGATTGTATAGGAATTCAGTGAGACATTGCTAATAGTATTATACTGCTAGGTCTAGTTTTGAAACAGGTAAAGAGACTGAAAAAGGTTATGAGACTTGTTTACCTTACACAGCTAGTATGTGGCAAGTCTTCAGACTACAAATCCCATGGTCCTTCTGAAAGAAACGGTCTGAAGATTTTAAAGGGTTTTATTTAAAACTGACATTTGTAAAACTTCATATTACCTTGTCTAATTGTTCTTGAGCTCTCTGTAGTTCTTCTATTCTCTGCCTCTCTTTTTCTTGCATTTCCAATTCCAGCTGCAATGCCAGCTGTTGCTGAATATTCAGAAATATATGTCATATTACAGTTAGATTAATTGCAAAATAATTAAGTTTATACCCACCTTCATTTCAGAAACTTATAATAAATGGTAATATCCAACTAACACTTTAGCTTCTACAAATGGTTTCTGAAGCATAAAAAATTTTTTTAAAGATTTTAGTCTTCCTTAATTGCAAATTATAGAAAGTACAATTTATACAAAATCATTTTCTCATTTCTTCTTAAAGTAACAAATGAGATTGGAATCATTTTCCAGATAAATTTATTTAAGGATAGATGGGTCTTCAAAGAGCCACACGTTGGTTGTGGAAGAGTGGGTGAGAAACTCTTAAGAATATCATCTGATGGCTCACACCTGTTATCCCAGCACTTTGGGAGGCTGAGGCAGGTGGATCATGAGGTCAAGAAATCGAGACCATCCTGGCCAACATGGTAAAACCCCGTCTCTACTAAAAATACAAAAATTAGCCGGGTGTGGTGGCACGCGCCTGTAGTCCCAGCTACTTGGGAGGCTGAGGCGGAAGAATGGCTTGAACCCGGGAGGCGGAGGTCGCAGTGAGCCGAGACTGCGAGACTGCTCTCCAGCCTGGTGACAGAGCAAGGCTCGTCTCAAAAAAGAAAAAAAAAAATACAAAAAGTAGACAGGCAGGGTGGCGCATGCCTGTAACCTCAGCTACTCCAGAGGCTGAGGCAGGAGAATCGCTTGAACCCAGGAGGCGGAGGGTGCAGTGAGCCAAGATTGTGCCATTGTAGTCCAGCCCAGAAGTATCAGCAAAAAAGAGTATCATCTGAAATCGTAAATAACCAACAATATATTTGGTCCGAACTCAGCATATCTTTGACACTAGAATAGGGTTCAGTAATAAAGCCTGTGGGCCAAAGCCAGCCCAACTCCTGTTTTTTACAGCCTACAAACTATGAATAGCTTTTACACTTTTAAATGGAAAAATTTTAAAAGAAATAATATTTCATGACATAAGAAAATTGTATGAAGTTTAAATTTCAGCATCCTTAAATAAAGCTTTATTGAAACACAGCCATGCTCATTTGCTTACATATTGTCTATTAGCGCTTTTGTGCTGCCACAGCAGAGTACAGTAATTGTAACAGAGACCACATGTGGTGCACTCTCCACTGTGCCCGGCTGCTCAGCACACTACAAACCGCAGTAACATCGTTGTAATAACAGTGTTTGGAGTGCCATGGTATCGCTATACTGTGACATTTAAAAAAATTATATCCATTATGTCAAAACAAGAAAGCCAGGCATGGGTGGCTCATTCCTATAATCCTGCTACTCAGGAGTGAAGCAGGAGGATTTTGAAGCCAGGAGTTCAAGACCAGCGTGGGCAACATAGTTAGATTCCCATCTCTAAATAAAATTTTGAGAGAGAAAAAGGACACAAGTGAACTTTGAATGCCGCGCTTTTAAGGCACACTACAGTGTGTATTATTTTGTCATCAAATTACATGGCAAAATATGTTTCTTGCTATACAGTGTCACTTTGCTAAAAGAATAATAAACATCAACATTACTAGACTAAGCACTCATCGCAATAGTCCCAGCTCACTGAGCACAAAGATCAGAAAAATTAGAAAATTTAAAACAGAATTGGCCGAGCATGGTGGCTTATGCCTGTAATCCTAGCACTTTGGGAGGCCTAGGCAGGTGGATCACCTGAGGTCAGGAGTTCAAGACCAGCCTGGCCAACATGGTGAAACCCCGACTCTACAAAATACAAAAAAAAAATTAGCTGGGCTTGGTGGCAGATACCTGTAGTCTCAGCCATTTGGGAGGCTGAGGCAAGAGAATCGCTTGAACCTGGGAAGCAGAAGTTGCAGTGAGCCAAGATCATGCCACTGCACTCCAGCCTGGGTGACAGAGTGAGACTCTGTCACAAAATAAATAAATAGAATTATCATAGCAGAATTTCTTTACAAAAATTAAAAATGAAAATGTCTGCAACAAAAGTAAGGTTCCAAGTAGCTCATTTTTTATGCAAACAAGGAAAGATATTCACCAATGGTGAGTGAATTAAAACATGTTTTTCAGTGGCCAAAAAAATGTGTCCAGGAAAAAATAAATTTCTCTAAGATTTTAGCCTTTTGGTGAGAACAGCTGCTCTGAGTTGACACTGGGAACAACATCAATAGTCAATTAAAAACAAGGCACATGATTCTGAGTGGCTTTACTTGGCTCCTGATAAGTAGACAGATGTTCCCTGACACTGCTCAGTTGTTGTTTATGGAAAGGGTCAATGTTGAGTTTGAAGTGATTGAAAAACCAAACTTCTATGAATAGTCTTTGATACGGTTTGGCTGTGTTCCCATTTAAATCTCAACTTGAATTCTGTCTCCCAGAATTCCCATGTTGTGGGAGGGATCCAGGATGAGGTAATTGAATCATGGGACCGGTCTTCCCCTTGCTATTCTTGTGATAGTGAATAAGTCTCATGAGATCCGATGGGTTTATCAGGGGTTTCTGCTTTTGCTTCTTCCTCATTTTCTCTTGCTCCACCATGTAAGAAGTGCCTCTGCCTCCCAACATGATTCTGAGACCTCCCAGCCATGTGGAACTGTAAGTCCAATGAAACCTCTTTTTCTTCCCAGTCTTGGGTATGTCTTTATCAGCAGCATGAAAATGGACTAATACGGTAAATTGGTACCAGTAGAGTGGAACTTTGCTGAAAAGATAACTGAAAATGTGAAAGCAACTTTGGAACTGGGTAACAGGCAGAAGTTGGAACAGTTTAGAGGGCTCAGAAGAAGACAAGAAAATGTGGAAAAGTTTGGAACCTCCTAGAGATGTGTTGAATGGCTTTGACAAAAATGCTGATAGTGATATGAACAATAAGGTTCAGGCTGAGGTGGTCTCGGGTGGAGATGAGAAACTTCTTGGGAACTGGAGCAAAGGTGACTCATTATGTTTTAGCAAAGAGACTGGTAGCATTTCCTGCCCTAGAGTTTTGCAGAACTTTGAACTTGGGAGAAATTCTTTAGGGTATCTGACAGAAGAAATTCCTAAGCAGAAAAGCATTCAAGAGGTGACTTGGGTACTGTTAAAAGCATTTCATTTTAAAAGGGAAATAAAGCATAAACGTTCAGAAAATTTGCAGCCTGATGATGAAGTAAAAAAAAGAAAAATCCAATTTTTGAGGAGAAATTCATGCCAGCTACAGAAATTTGCATAAGTAACAAGAAGCTTAATGTTAATCCCCAAGATCATGGGGAAAATGTCTCCAGGCCATGTCAGAGACCTTCACAGTAGCCCCTCCCATCACAGGCCTGGAGGCCCAGGAGGAAAAAATGGTTTCATGGGCTGGGCCCAGGGTTCCATACTGCGTTCAGCCTAGGTACTTGGTGCCCTGTGTCCAAGCCACTCCAGCCATGGCTGACAGGGGTCAACGTACAGCTTAGGCTGTGACTTCACAGGGTGGAAGCCCCAAGCCTTGGCAGCTTCCACATGGTGTTGAGCCTGTGGGTGCACAGAAGTCAAGAACTGAGGTTTGGGAACCTCTGCCTGGATTTCAAATGTATGGAAACACCTGGATGCCCAAGCAAAAGTTTGCTGCAGGGTCAGGGCCTTCATGGAGAACCTCTGCTAGGGCAGTGTGGAAGGGAAATGTGGGGGCAGAGCACATGCTGTCTATGTAGAAATCTAAAACAAAACAAAACAAAACAAAAAAAAGTTGAATACATAAAAACAGAGAATAGAATAGTGGTTATCAAGAGGTGGAGTTGGGGTAGGCCTGGAAGGAGAAGAATGAGGAGATGTAGGTCAAAAGGTACAAAATTGCAATTATGTAGGATGAATAAATATAGAGATCTAAAGTACAGCATGAGGACCATAGCTATTAAGATTGTATTGTGTACTGGAAATTTTTTAAGAGAGTAGATTTATGTACTCTTACTATAAAAAAGTAACTGTCTAAGATGACGAATATTGAAATTTCTTACCTGTGCTAAGCATTCACTATGTAATATCAAAACATTATGTGCACTTTCAATTTATACAATAAAAAGTTAAATCTTGACCCTGAGCTAAAGAATTCATAACATAACTGTTAAGTCATGGAATTGCTGTGTAGTAGGACATCAGGATACAGTCAGCTTATGTTTCTGACAAAAAATTCACAGAACTGATGGTCCAGTTTACAAGAGTGAATGAAGGTCACTGTTGACACCACTGGCTCAATAACACATGATAAATTCAAATACTTTCACGGAGTAGTTGCTGTTGAGTAATATGAAGAACACTTACTGGTTTTAAATACTCTATTTTCTCACTAGCTTTGCAAATTTGTTCGGCTCAGCCTTTTTCTATTCCACACATATTTTTATCACTGTCAGCTGTAATACATCTTAGCAGATTTCACTGCAGGTTGTATTGAATCAGTGTTTCTACACGCCTTTGAAAATACTCTTGCCTGTAATTGTTCCATGAAGACTATACTAGTCCGTTTCATCCTGCTGACAAAGACATACCCAAGACTGGGAAGAAAAAGAGGTTTAATTGGACTTACAGTTCCACATGGCCAGGGAGGCCTCAGAATCATGGTGGGAGGTGAAAGGCACTTCTTACATGGTGGCAGCAAGAGAAAATGAGGAAGAAGCAAAAGCAGAAACCCCTGATAAACCCATCAGATCTCGTGAGACTTATTCACTATCACAAGGAGAAGCCCAGCCCTCATGATTCAATTACCTCTGCTGGGGTCCCTCCCACAACACGTGGGAATTCTGGGAGATACAATTCAAGTTGAGATTTGAATGGAGACACAGACAAACCATATCATTTCAACCCTGGCCCCTGCAAATCTCACATCCTCACATTTCAGAACCAATTGTGCCTTCCCAGGAGCCCCCCCAAAGTCTTAACTCATTTCAGCATTAACCAAAAAGTCCACAGTCCGGAGTCTCCTCTGAGAAAAGGCAAGCCCCTTCTGTCTATGAGGCTGTAAAATCAAAAGCAAGTTAGTTACTTCCTAGATACAGT